TAATTATATTTTCTTTAAGGATTTAATAGAAACTAATTAAAATAATTTGAATAGGATGAATGTTCACAGAGATAAGGGGACCAGTGTCTACAGTTTTTTTGTGCTGTAGGTGCTCTTCATTTCCTTCCATAGCAGTTTGTCTACATGTTTGTTTTAATGTAGGCATCTTCTAAGCTAGACTTTTTAAACAAAAATTCTCAATCTTATTTAGGAGAGAGAATTCTGCCTTTTGGGAAGTCACTAGAAATGATCATTTGTTTACTAAGGTTGTCTGGTTTTAATTGCTGTGATACAGTGAAGGGATTGAGACAGGACAAGAAATGTTTTAGTACTTTCTTGAAGCTTTTAAAAATTTTCCATTCCCTTTTAGAATTGTTGTAAAAGCTATCGTTGTCTAAGAGGCATATTAAAGCTAAAACCATATATCTATTGCTAACTTTACAAATCTTATTTTACTTTTTAATATATCTATCAAAGTTCTTTCTCTAACTCTGAGAAATCTAAATTTTCTCTCCGAATCTCATCTCTTCCAATTTCAACTAGGATCATTGTAATTTTTTTTTCTATTCTTTGGATGTAAAACTTTTATTTTGAGAAGATAAGAAAACTGACTTCTAGACATCTTTGATCTGGGCCCCACCCTCCCAAAACAATCTTAGCATTTTCTGCTCCCCAGAAGAAAATTTCATTCCTAATTAGTTCAGTCTGTTCATCCCATTACACGCACACACACACACACACACACACGCACACACACACACACACACACACACACACACACCCTTGTTCCATTCCCTCTCTAATCACTTTCCCCTCTGTTTCCTAACCCCTAGAGAATGGCTATTTATGCTAATTGAACTTGAGTTTTATCTGGTGGGTAGAGTGGGGGGAGCTATGTAATATAACACTGAATTCACTGGGCACAGTAAATAGTCATGGGACTGAGGTCAGTTGTTTTCTCTCTTTGCTGTTCTGAAAAGTTTAGATTGTCAGCTTTAATCAAATAACTGTTATGTCTAAGACACCAAAATAAGTGGCATAAAAACAAAACATGTTTCTGATCTCAACATAGCTAACAGACATGGAGGTATAATCAAGATTAAGATACCCTGATTTACAAAGACGTTTTCCTAGGTGATTATTTAATTCATCATAGAAGGATGATCTAAAGAAAGCATTCATTTTTGTAGCAAAATATATATACAGAATCCACCAAAAAATGTATACACACTTTAGGAAAAGACAAATTTTTATAAATATTTCATACTAAATTTATTGAGACATCATGAGATTAATACAAGTTATCTCTGGCCTCTACAATTACAAGAGGTGCTCAGAGTGGTGGCCATTAGCTTCCAGCTACTTACTAGCATGGCAAACTGATGCCTGGGCGACCTTGGTCATTGAGATTGCTGCTGCTCATGCATTTTCAATTTCTTCTCTTAAGAGCCAGCAGTGTAGTGGGTTTTCTGCCATATGAGGGAAATATCATCTGTTTAAAAAAATTAT